TCCCCCCCCCCCACTTCCCCCTCCTCCGAAAAGCCACAGTGACTCAGGGCCCTGCCCTGGGCTGGGGCGGGCTGCTTTCCCCCTCTGTGGTGCCACCCCCACCTCTAGGCTCCACCTTCCCCCCCCCCCCTCCCCGCCCCAGAGGAGCTGTCAGGAGGGATCAGCAGGCCCTGGCCCATCTCCCCAGATTTAATTAACAGGCCTTTCATCTCTGTCCTGCAGGAATTAGCTATCTTCTGTCTCCTTAATTAACGTTCATTAAGCAAATCAGAACAACAGGGATTTTCTCTGTCCTCCTTGCAGGGAAGGTTTTAACCCTTCATAGGTGGGCTTTTGAGAGGAGAGCCCAAGAGGCCAGAGCACTGCCCAGGCAGAGGCTCCAGGCAAAACAAGACCTGTGCCCCACCCACTAGCTGCTCCATGCTGGCCCCCTGGCCTCCACACACAGCATTTTTTTGTTGTTGTTGGTCCTGGGACTTGAACTCAGGGCCTAGGCACTGTTCTTGAGCTTCTTTTGCTCAAGGCTAGCCACAGCACCACTTCCAGCTTTTCTGCGCATGTGGTACTGAGGAATCAAACCCAGGTAGGTAAACACTCTACCACTAAGCCACATTCCCAGCCCACCATCTCTCTCTCTTTTTTTTTTTTTATTTGTTTGTTTGTTTTGTTTTGTTGCTGGTCATGGGGCCTGAACTCTGGGCCTGGGTGCTGTCCCTCAGCTCTTCAGCTCAAGGCTAGTGCTCTACAACTGGAGCCACAGCGCCACTTCCGGCTTTTTCTGTTTATGTGGTGCTGAGGAATCGAACCCAGGGCCTCATGCTTGCAAGGCAAGCACTCTACCACTGAGCTACCTTCCCAGCCCCCCCCCTTTTTTTTTTAATGCCAGTTCTGGGGCTTGAACTCAGAGCGTGGGGCCTGGGTGTTATCTCTGAGCTTTTTGGCTCAAGGCAGATGCTCTACCACTTGAGCCAGAACTCTGCTTCTGTTTGGCTTTTTTGGTGCTTTCCTGCCTGGGCTGGAATTACACCATGATCCTCAGCTCTCAGCCTTCTGAGTAGCTAGGATGACAGGTGTGAGCCCACAGCGTCCGGCAGATGCTGGTGCTGTCCACCACGGGGCTGTTGAGCACACGGTCATATAAATGGTTGTACAAACCACTCTCCCTCCCAAGGCCTCAGTTTCCCCATTGATACAGGGCACCCTGGGCCCAGAGACACTGACAGCCAATCCTCCTGGAAGTGTGGGAGGTGTTTCTCTGCCAAGTCCTCACAGAGGATGGACGGATGGAAGTCGCCCAGCCTTCCACACACCTGCCCCAAGCTCCCTGGGGAAGAGTTGGGTCCCAGCTCTACCATCTGCCCCACAGAGGCCTCCCCTGGCTGAGGCCTCCCTGGCCCGGCCTGGGAGTGCAGGCTGGGCTCTCCAGGACAAGTGGGCTTGAGTGGAGGAATCGAGAAGGAGTGGAAAACCTGGCTCTCATCCTGGCTCTGCGCTCCCACCCCCACCCCAGCCCGTGGGGTCTTGGGTGTCCCTCCCCCTCAGGGCTCCCATCAACCAGCCATGCGCAGCCCCTGCTGGGATCCCGTATGGGGAAAGGGCTGGCAGGGGTCAGGTGTGCCTGAGCTCCGTGGTCCACTCTCCAGGCTGGTGGTCCAAGCTGGAAGGGGCGGCACCTGAATGCCAAGGGCTTTGTTGTACCTCCAGGCCCATCTTTCCTGTCAGTGCCGCTCTGGGACACGTCCTTGTCCACCAGGGGGCGTGAGAGGCCAGGCCCTGCAGTGAGTCCCCTAGGGGACCGGAGCAGCTGTACTTGGAGCCCAGAGTGAGACTAACCTGTCCCCCCCCCCCCCCCACACACACACACCAGTCTCCATCGTGCAGCCCCTGCAGCTCCTCTGCAGGACCAAGCCCAGCTCACTGCTAGGAGGCCACACCCCACCACACCCCACGCTGTCGGACTGCACCCTGCTCCAGCCAGGCCTGCAGGCCCGCTCCCCGCCAGCCCTACCAGGATACAACACACTAGCCTACTCACTCACTCCCCGGGCCCGGGCAAGCTCTCTGACTCCTGCCAAGATCCCCATTTCTCTGGACAACGCTGACAACTCAGCGCAAAGGCCGCCTCTTCTGAGAAGCCCCCTCTGACTCTCCAGGGCCAGCCTCTCACTCTGTGTGTTACCCGCTGTCAGCCGGCTCCGCCATGCACCCTGGGAATTGGGCTGGGAGATCTCACTGCCTTACACCCACCAAGCAAGCATGGTTTACCGTGCAGTGCACACGGAAAAGCCTATGACCAGGGTCCAGTCTTAGGAACAGGTAGGACCAACTGGGGCTGTCACCAGGCTCTTTGCTAGCACCTTCTCCCTCCATCTGGGCTACGGGCTTGTAAGCAGACAGCAGGACCTTGCTAGAGTCTCGGTGAACATCTGCCCGCCCTGGGTCAGGCGCTTGATGCTCAGGTATTTCCATCAGAAGGTGGTGAATACAGAGCATTATAATGTGCTCAAGCACTATTGGCCTTGAACTCTCCTGCCTGCCAGTGATCCAGGACGCCGCTGCTCCTGTTGCCTGCCACACAGAGAAAGAAGCACACGGGGGACCCCCTCCTTCGCTGTCACCTCCCACGTGCCAAAGGGGCAGAGGTGCCCTCCTCCCGCCAGCCCCCCCACCTTCTAAATCTCAGGGAAGGCCATCCAACTGGCAGGCCTGTTTTGCAGCTTGGGGCCTGGCAGCAGAGGCAGCTGGGAGGAGTGGCTGTCAGGAGCAGCCTCCACCACACAGGGCAACGCATCAGGGAGGTGGAACCGAGGCTGTGAGCCCGGGTTGGTTTGTGACCGAGGACTCTTGTGTCACACCGCGTGAGTTCCTCTCAGGCAAATCCATGGGAAGAAAAAAAAAAGCCTTGTAGAATCAAGATGACCAATTAATTTCCTCAAGCTGAGTTCTTGATTGGAAATTATTAAAGGTATATGGGATGGAGTGAAGGGTGTGCTTTGCCTTGTCCCAGTGAGAATGAGCAGAACAAAGCTCACCCTTCTGCTCCATCCACATGGCCCTGTGCCCTGGGCTTTCCCATGAGCCCTGCTCACACTCACGCTGCTCACCCCTGCCACGAGGTTCTCAATACAGGGGAAACTTTTTTTTTCTTCTTTTTTCTCCTTCCTTCCTTTCTTTCTGTTGTGGGACTTGAACTCTGGGCCTGGGCGCTGTCCCTCAGCTCTTCAGCTCAAGGCGGGTGCTCTACCTCTTGAGCCACAACACCACTTCCCTTTTTCTGGTGGTTAATTGGAGATAAAGAGTCTTGTGAACTTTCTTTCCCCAGGCTGGCTTTGAACCGTGATCCTCAGATCTCAGCCTCGTGAGCAACTAGGATTACAGGTGTGAGCCATGGTGCCCAGCTACCCTTCCCCCCCCCCCCAAGAGTTATTTGGCTATTGATGACCTCATTCCTGGACCACACAGAATTATCACTACATGCAGTTGGCATGGGCAGCCAGTGAGAAGCGTGTACATCTATCTGGTCATGTGCCAAACGATGCTTCCAGCGTTACATAGCCCCCCACTCCGATAAATCTTTCCCAGGCACACAGATGTTGCACGTTGGGACAGCCATCATCAGGGGCACCAGAGTCGGATGGAAGCACCATAGTGGCCCTTCAGGGTTGGGGGGAAGAGCAGGAAGGCCTCCCCAAAGTGATGGGTTTTTGTTTTTGATGGAACTTGGGATTTGAACACAGGCTTCCTACTTGTCAGGTTGGTACTCTGCCACCTGAGCCATACCGTCAGCCCTGCTTTTTGCTGGTTATTTTGAAGATAGGGTCTCTTGGGCTTTTCTGACCTCCAACCCTTATCCTCTGAATTTCAGTCACCTGAAGAGCCGTGATTACAGGCGTGAGTCACCAGGGCACTCACTACTTCCCAGGTGTCATCTGTGCACTGTCAGATGTCTGCTTGTCCAAATTCTAGGTTTTAATCTAGGTGCCTGCTACCAAGCACTGGTGGCTCATGCCTGTCATTCTAGCTATAGGAGGCTGGGATCTGAGGCTCAAGGTTCAAAGCCAGCCCAGGCAGGAAAGCCCGTGAGACTCTTATCTCCAATGAATCACTGAAAAGCTGGAAAGCTGGAGCTGAAGATCAAGTGGTAGGCCAGCCTTGAACAAAAAAGCTCAGGAACAGAGCCCAGGCCCTGAGTTCAAGCACACACATGATCTCTTGGTTTGGGGAACAAAAAGATGCCAGCAGCCAGACCTCTTGGGGGTTACCAGAGACCTTGACTAGGAGGCACTTTGGGTAAGGATGCATTCTTCCTTCCTTCCTTTCTTTCGGTTGTGGGACTTGAACTCTGAGCCTGGGCACTGTCCATCAGCTCTTCAGCTCAAGGCTAAGTGTTCCACCACTTGAGCCACAGCACCACTTCCTGTTTTCTGAGTGGTTTATTGGAGCTAAGAGTCTCACCAACTTTCTTGCCTGGGCTGGCTTTGAACCATGATCCCCAGATCTCAGCCTCCTGAGCAGCCCGCGAACTGGGGGCCCGGCCCCGGAGGGCGTTTTCTGCCCCCACTTTCCACGGTCTGGGGGGCGGGGGGAGGAGGAGGCGGGGAAGGAGGAGGAGGGCGGTCAGTCCTGGGCTCGTCTGCCGGCTGGGGGTGAGCGCGAGGGGCCGGCGCTGTCCGGGCGCGGGGTGCTGGCGGCGGCGCGGGTCCCTCCTCCAGCCCGGCGCTCCCCGCCCCGCGGGCTCGGGCAGTCGGTCCGCGCGCACAGGGCGGGGCCGGGCAGAGCGCAGGGCGCTGGGGCAGGGGCCGGGGCGGCGGAGCGCAGGGCGGCGGAGCGCAGGGCGGCGGAGCGCAGGGCGGCGGAGCGCAGGGCGGCGGAGCGCAGGGCGGCGGAGCGCAGGGCGGCGGAGCGCAGGGCGGCGGAGCGCAGGGCGCTGGGGCAGGGGCCGGGCGGAGCGCAGGGCGGCGGAGCGCAGGGCGGCGGGGCCGGGGCCGGGCAGCGTGGCCATGGCCACCCCCGCGGCGGCGTTGGCGCTGCTGCTGGGGCTGCTGGCGCGGGCGGCCCCGGGCGCGGGCGCGGGCCCCGGCGCGTGCTACGACGGCGCGGGGCGGGCGCGGCGCTGCGTGCCCGAGTTCGAGAACGCGGCGTTCGGGCGGCGCGCGCAGGCCTCGCGCACGTGCGGCCGGCCGCCCGAGGACTTCTGCCCGCAGGTGCGCGCGGGCGGCGCGGGGCCGCCGTGCCAGCGCTGCGACGCCGCCGACCCGCGCCGCCACCACAACGCCTCGCTGCTCACCGACTTCCACAGCCCCGACGACAGCACCTGGTGGCAGAGCCCCACCATGGCCCGCGGGGTGCAGTACCCCCACTCCGTCAACCTCACCCTGCGCCTGGGTAAGCTCGGGGCTGCGGCCCGGATCACGGCGGTCGCGCCGAGCGCGGGCCGGGGGAGGCCGGGGGCGGCGAGGACTCCGCCGCGCACCCCCGGGGGCTCCGCGAGGCCGGCCGGCGCCAGGCGCCACGGGTCGGCCGCCCCGGGCAGCAGGGGTGGCGGCCAGCCTGCCGTGACCGCCTCCGCCCGGCCTCATGGCCCGAGCCTCCCACGGCCTCCGCCCGGCCCCCCACGACCCCGCCCCAGGGCTCCCTCCCCGCCCCTGCGCCCCTGCGCCCTGCGCCGCCCTGCTGTCCCTTCTCTTCAACCTAAGACCTCCCAACGTCTTGACAAGTCTTGGAGGTGGGGGAGGGAGGGAGGGCCGGGGCTTGAACTCACGCCTTGTAGTCTTGCTTGGCGGCATCATCTCCTCCTCCTCCTCCTCCTCCTCCTCCCCCCCTCCTCCTCCCCCCTCCTCCATTTTCCTCCTTCTCCTCCTCTTCCTCCTCCTCCCCCCCTCCTCCTACTTCTCCCCCTCCTCCTCCTCCTCCATTTTCCTCCTCCTCTTCCTTCTCCTCCCCCTCCCTCCTCCTCCTCCCCCTTCCCTGCCAATCCTGGGGCTTGAACTCAGGGCCTGGGCACTGTCCCTGAGCCTTTCTATTCTATGCTCAAGGCTAGCGCTCTACCACTTGAGCCACAGCGCCCCTTCCGGCTTTTTCTGTGTATGTGTTACTGAGGAATCCAACCCAGGGCTTCCTGCATGCTAGGCAAGCACTCTACCACTGAGCCACCTTCCCAGCCCTCCTCCCCTTCCTCCCTGCCAGTCCTGGGGCTTGAACTTAGGGTCTGAGCGCTGTCCTGAGCTTCTTTTGCTCAAGGCTATCACTCTACCACCTGAGCCACAGTGCCACTTCCGGTCTTTTTCTGTTTAGGTGGTACTGAGGAATCAAACCCAGGGCTTCGTGCATGCGAGGCAAGCACTCTACCTCTTCCTCCTCCTCCTTCTCTTCTTCCTCCTCCTCCTTCCCCTTCTCTCCTTCCTCTTCTTTTTGTGCTCAAGGCGGGCACTCCGCCATTTGAGCCATACCTCCACCTCCATGTTTTTGCTGGTTGAGATAAGAGACTCTCAGATTCTTCTGGCCCAGGCTGGCTCTGAGATCTTCAGATCTCAGCCTCCTGAGGAGCCCAGGATTTCAGGCAGGAGCCACTGGCTCTCAGCTAATTCTTCAGTATTCTTATAACTCGTTTTGGCTGCTAAACCGTCTGACCTGAGGTTATTTATAGAGCTTGTTTATCCTGTCTATATTCACACATTTTGCTAGGGAAATGTCAGTTGAATACAGCCTACCACCCTGGAAAGAATGAATGGGATAACACAATATATAACCCAAGGCCTGCTACCCATCTGAATTCCAGAACACACCCAGCGCCAGTGAGCTTGAATACGAGACGGTGGAGCCGCCATGTCTGCATTTTTTTTTTTCAGATGAAAAATGTGGGGCTCTGAGAGGTTAAGTGCTTTGCTCCTAGGCGCACAGCTGTTGAATGACAGTCTGGATGCGGACGGGAGAGCTCATCAAGGCCAAGGCATAAGGAAGGAGTGGAAAGGGTGAGGGAGGAAGTCGGTGCGGAGGGCGCTGGGCCGACCCCTCAGCAGAGTAGGCACATGCTGGCTGTCCCCCAAAAACTCACTTTCCAAGAACCGCAAGGTGGGGTGAAGGCCTCTGGTCAGGCTGGACGCCAGTGGAGCCAGGCGGGGCTGGCGGGACCCCAAGGCCACAGGGGGAGGGGTATGGGCAGGGAGGGAGGGAGGCTGTGGGGTGAAAAGTGGCACAGGAGCCCATGGAATCAGACGCCAAGGAGGTGTCTGGGCCCGGGCACAGACAAGGGGGCAGCCGTGCGCCCACCCTGTGTGCCCTAGCCCACCCGCCTTCACCCATCCCAGGCACCAGGCACGAGAGAGGGAGGCCGGAAGTAACTGTGCACTGAACAGAGGACAAAGGAATGGATGGGTGGATGGATTACTGAATGAATGAACAAGGGCTAGCCACTGTCTGGGCATGACGGTGGAGCCTGCCTCAGTCTCCGTGTCTGTAGCATCGTCCCTTCCCTGGGGACAGTGATGCTGCTCCAGGAGCTGAGGTGTGGCGGGACGCCGGTGTTTGTGCTCAGAGTCCCTGGCTGAGTGCGGCTCGGGCTGGCACTCCTGGTTGTGCCGTAGGGAGTTGAAAATGTTGGCCCTGCCAGGCCCCAGTGGCTCACACCTGTCATCCTAGCTCCTCAAGAGGCTGAGATCTGAGGATCAAGGTTCAAAGCCAGCCCAAGCAGGAAAGTCTGTGAGCTGCTTATCTCCAGTTAACCAACAGAAAAAAAAACCAGAAATGGTAGAGCGTTCACCTTGCGCACAGAAGCTCAGGGACAGTACCTAGGCCTTGAGTTTAAGCCCTACAACCAAAGAGTGGGAGGGGCAGAGAAAGAAGGAAGGAAGGAAGGAAGGAAGGGGAAAATGCCAGCTTGCGTCAGGGCCCTGGTGACACAAGATGGGCCCTGGGAGTCACTGCAGCATCAAGTCTGGCTTGTTCCAGGGTCCACAGGACTTAGACTGGCTGCAGGCTACTGTGGATTGCATGGTTTGGGGTTCCTTAACCACTAGCCTGTGGCCTAGGGGGCCTCTGCTCAGTCCTCAGGTCACCCCTGCTTTCCCGGCCCCCTCCTTGGGGTCTCCTGGGAGGGGCCCAGGGTCCCGTGAAGGGAGTGGGGTGAAGGGCAGGAGAGGAAGAGGCCTCTGGTCAGGCTGGGATGGAGGTCGCCGCTTTCCCAGCCCCCTGGAGCTCCTGACATCTGTTCCAGATCCCGGGCTTCAGCTGAGCCTTCCTGTCTGGGATGAAAGGCCGCAGCGGGGTCTGGCGGCTCCCAGCCCTCCACAGGGCCTAGCAAAGCCGCCAGGGCTGGGGCCGGAGGGCAGGGGTGGGAGGGAGAGGGGAGTGGAGGGGGGTGAGGCAGGGGCGGCCGTGGGGTAGACACTCACAATCATCCAAGGGACAGAACCATGCTGTTTGCTTGCTGGGACAGCAGCCCAACCTGTCAGCTTCGGTGCTTATACAGGTGGAGAAACTGAGGCTCTGGGGATGAGATCAGCAGTCGGGGGGGTGCAGGGCTCCTGGGTCAGGCTGGTCTGAGCTTTCCTGCTTCTTCCCTGCGAAGAGCTCTGGTCTCTTAGGCTCTTTTATATATTTATTTGGGTGCTGATCCCAGGGCTTGAACTCAGGACCTAGGCACTATTTCTAATCATCTTTCGCTCAAGGCTAGGGCTCTGCCACTTGAGCCACAGCTCCACTTTGGCTTTTTTTGGTAGTGTATTGGAGATGAGCGTCTCGCAGACTTTCCTGCCCGGGCTGGCTTTGAACCGCGATTCTCAGATCTCAGCCTCCTGAGTAGCTAGGAGGACAGGCGTGAGCCACCGGCGCCTGCTTTTACGGTGGCTCTCAGGGCTCAGAGTCCCCTCCTTCCCTCAGTGACCTGAGAAGAACACCCAAATGAGTTCTGAGCCCCCCCCCCCCCCCGGCCTAACTCCGACCTGGGGTGGGGCCGTGAGCCGTCCAGGGCCCGAGGCCACCTGCGGACCAGGACGGCCTGAGGCTTGGGCTCTGCGGGCACACGTCGGGGTTCGCCAGCCTTGTTGGGGGCTCTCGCTGAGGCCTGTGGCAGATCAGGGCTGAGAAAAGAGGCCACGAGGCCACTCAGGGACCCACAGGGTCCTGTGGCCCCCGCGGAGGGAACGAGAAGACAATGGTAACCAGCCACAGCGCGGAGCCAGGTCTGGGTGGGCTGGATGTCCGGGAGACACTGCCGGCCTGGGAGGAACCGGGGACCAGCTGGGTCTCCTGAGCTTTGGCTCCATTGTGCTTTCCTGTGGGTGGGCAGCCATGTTTGCCTTGGCTGGGGCTGGAGCTGGGGGGGGGGGGGTCAACTCCTCTTTCTTTCTCCCTGGGGACTCTGGCTGGAACACTGGGGCCCAGACAGGTCAAGGGTCAAGGCAACAGCCTCGGGCAGCCTCCACCCACCCCCAGAAGTGGGCTCCAGGAGTCCCTGGAGCCAGCCGGCCTTGACTCCCTACTCCGGAGGGCCGTCCAGGGCTGGCCCAGCAGGAGCCGGGATTGGATGGTGTTGCCCGTCTGGGCCTCAGGGTCACCCCCATCCACCTCACCTCTGTTCCAGCCGCAGCCCCTGCCCGGAGCAGGCCCCAGCTCTAGACCCTCACTCTGCACGAGCCCCCGCACATGCTTTCCCTGCTGCTGACTCGCCTCCTCTCCCAGCCTGATAGCCCCTGCGGCGTGCCAGTGCTCGACCAAGCCCCAGGCCCAGGCAGAGGACACGCCGCTGTCTGCCCGCCATTCCAGGAAGCCCTCGGCCTCCGAGACTGAGCAGAGGGCTGCCCTCGCCTCCCACGGCCGCCCCCACCCTCCAACCTCCTCCTTCAAGGCCCTGAGGTTTGCTTCTCCATCCTCCAGCTCCCAGCTTGTGGGACTGTTTACACGGCTGCCCCCCAAAAGTCAGCCCAGGGCCCCCTGCACAGGTTGCTGGAGCAGCAGAGAAAAGGGAATCACGGCTCCAGTTCAGCCCGGAGCCTGGTGCTGTTCAAAGCACTTTGTGGGTATTTGCATATGTGTGTGTGTGTGTGTGTGTATTAGCAATCCTGAGATTTGAACTCAGAGCCTTGTGCTTGCTGGGCGGGCACTCTACCACTGCAGCCACATTCCTTGCCCTTTTTTTGTTTTTGTTTCCCTTTGTCATTTTTCAAATAAGGTCTCATGTTTTCACCCAGGCCAGCCTGGATCTCAATTTTTTAATTTAATTTTACTTTTTGCCAGTCGTGGGGCCTGAACTCTGGGCCTGGGCGCTGTCCCTCAGCAATTCAGCTCAAGGCTAGCACTCTACCACTTGAGCCACAGCGCCACTTCCAGCTTTTTTCTTTTTGCTTATGTGGTGCTGAGGAATTGAACCCAGGGCCTCATGCATGCAA